GGACTAAAATATTGTATGATTTAAAGCGATAGGGAACATTAACTTAACATATGCTCGTAAATGAATTTTTAAACTTGAGGTAAATTGATTTAAATTTTATAAAATAGTATGAATTATTACTCTTGTGGTGGTAGTAGCCTACAGGAAACCCCTTTTTGAAGTTTGCCTTTGGCTGTAGGCAAATATTGGAAACCTCTGGTTTTGTCATTTTCTTACATCAACTTTCCCGAAGATGGTGCTAATTGTCCCATCAGGAACAAAGTTTTCTAAATATTCTCACCCAATCTAACAGAATCATATTTTCTCAAATAATTTCCTCTTTGTCATATTTCTCTGGAAAATACCATTACCTGCGTCGTTTACATATTGAACATGCAGTTGTTGATCTTAAAGGGTTAGTTCACCCCAAAATGAAAATTCTGTCATTAATTACTCACCCTCATGTCGTTCCAAACCCGTAACTCAGTTTTGCGAAGCTACGGGAATACTTTTGGAGTGCAAAGAAAACAAAAATAACAATTTATTTCACAGTTCTTCTCCCCCGAGTTACGTCTTCCGCCATTTTGGAGAGTACCCAAGAGCGTAATCGACGTAATCAGCGTTGTTTACGTTTGGGGGAAAGCGTGCGTGTGCATTGTGATACTCTCTAAAATGGCGGAAGACGTAACTCAGGGGAGAAGAATTGTTGAAAAAAATTTTTATTTTTGTTTTATTTGCGCTCAAAAAGTATTGTTGAGCCACTGATGTCACATGGACTGTTTTACCGATGTCCACTACGTTTCTGGACCTGGGAACATTACAACTGCGTTGCTGTCTATGCAGGGTCTGAGAGCTCTCACATTTCATCAAAAATATCTTAATTTGTGTTCCGAAGATGAACGAAGGTCTTACGGGTTTGGAACGACATGAGGGTGAGTAATTAATGACAGAATTTTCATTTTTGGGTGAACTATCCCTTTAATCGCTGACAAACGATATGATGCATTTTAGACTAGTTTTCGATGTATTGCAGATTTCCCAGCGTTTTTGTTCTTGTGTATTAGGTATTATAAACCAAATGAACATTACTTTTACTGCATTTAGTATTAAGCTAGGTACATGTTAATTTCTGCTGATTACTTTTAAAGGGGTCATGTGATGCGATTTAAATTTTTCCTTTCTCTTTGGAGTGTTACAAGCTCTTGGTGCATAAAGAAGATCTGTAAAGTTGCAAAGACTAAAGTCTCAAATCCAAAGAGATATTCTTTATAAAAGTTAAGAGTTAACCACGCCTACCTAAAATGGCTTGTTCTAACACGCCCCCACATGTCTACGTCACGATGTGGGAAGATTTGCATAACACCGCCCAAATGTTCACAATTTAAAGTTCTATTAATTAACATTAATATTAATTTGTATGTATTACAATATGAAAAAACAAATGAATAATGAATAATAGTATTTATAAATGAACATTAACAGATAAATACATGATGCACAAAAACTATTTATTTTATAGTTCATGACACCTGTTTAAGAACCACAGACCCTACTGTAAGCTGAGTAAACTTAAGTATAAACTGATAAATGTACAGTGCTGGCAGATGAAACTGTTGCTGATTATAAATAAACACTAGAGGGAGCAACTGACTTTCACTGTGACTTGTGACTGAAATTTATAAATAATTTCGATGCTCAAGCAAAAGTGTTGGGTGTTCAGATTTAAAGCTTTGAAAATATATGAATCAAATACTAGTCCAACTGGTGGGGTGCAAAAATAAATAAATACAATTAAGACAGATTTAAGACTGTTTAGGATGGGCAAACTAAGGTTGGGCACGAGTACTGAAGTATTCAGAATTAGCAGCAATGATTGATCATGAAATGCTTGAAATGACTTAGGCCTATACGGAATTCAAAACATCAAGTAGGAGTGTTATTTGTAATTTAGTGTGATATATAATTTCCAGCGGTACCTTTTGGACCAATTCATCAGAAAGCAAAACTACGCAAGGTCAAGCTAAACGTGACAAAAATAGTGGTGCATGCTTATTACGATAATTACGGTATTCAGCAAGAAAAGCAAAGAGACACGCTTTCTGAGTGTTTTTTTCCTATTGAGTTGGCTAGTGAGTGGGATGCCAAAGATGTTTGTCTCATACATATGTAGATTCACATTAACCAATAATTCACTTTGAAATCATTGCCCTATGTACCCAAGTGTTTGAATTGATTTAGCATGCTCATCCCTAATACAAACCCAAAAACCTGAGTTTGCAAATGTCCCTCTTTCTTCTATTGCTGCCCTGTGGTTAAACAGTTAAAGAAAGCTAATTTAATAACTCACAGAATTTTCAATAACAGCCTTGATTCTTTCAGGTGTGCTGCAGGGGTGCGTGAGTCATCACGGCCTGTTTTGCTAACAAGTCTGAGTGATGTTGCGTCTCTGGGCTTAAACTCATGGTAAGGCTCCTCAGGCCTCAACCAGCCACAGCCATAGTGTGTTTGCATCAAATTCTACATGGTACAGTGGAAACCACACAATTACTTTTTCAAAATGTCATCTGCCGCCCTTTAACAATTTTGTGGAGCTATTAGAACAGGATAAAGCCCATACAATTACATATAATGAATTATAATTCATATCTATATGTGTTTTTGATTAAAAATCTGTTATTTTAATGGTTAACAAGGTAATATTATTAATATAATTTGCCTTTTTAAGTCTGATTGTCGAAGAAATTGTGACAGTTAGTAAGAACAACCTTGCAAAAACTGTCATTCTGAAATGATTAGGGCTGGGCAAAAAAATTGATTTTTTGATTAATCGTTTTTTAAAATGACGTCGATTCGATATCGATTCTCAAAAGCCGCGATTCAATCTTTTCCGGTGTTTATTTCAGCAAACATTTAAAACAAGATCTGATTAATGTGAATCTTATCATTAGTCTTCTCCACCCACTGTCACCGTCTTATTTACCTTGCGCGATGTTACAACAGAAAGCCTGTCATTCATTCAGTGCTTATCATAGCGGAGATACTGTTGACAAGAACCAAGAACAAAGCAATGTGCGCGATTTGCAAAGCTCAGGTAAAATTCTATAGTAATACTACAGATCTGCGGAACCATTTGACATCACGCCTAAGGCACCATGATTTCCGCAATGAATGAATGGCGGATGGTGCGACGCACTGTTTTGTTTACTAAAGCGCGGACGATGCTCGCGGTGTTTTTAGCTTCTGCCGTCTCACTATATGATGGTATGAACACGTGAATATCATCTCCAGCTGCTCCAAGAGTCACTTTATTAGCATTTTACCCTTTTATTTTTAGAAAACTACCGTCATATCACATACACAGCAGCTGCAAATTCCTCATGGCAACCCGTCAAAATAAAAGTTTAGTTTAACCTGAAGAAACTGTCAAAACTATATTACTATTTAGCAGTCTTAAGACTCAATGTAACAACAATGCTGCTACTACTACTACTACTAATAATAATAAATATTAGTAGTAGTAGTAGTAGTAGTAGTAGTAGTAATAATAATAAATATTAATAAATCTTTATTTTTATAAGGAATAATCACATTTGTTTTCTTTTTAATTTTAACAGTCTGTTGTGCACTTTGTTTGCCCAAAAAAGGGTTTAATTTTCATTTGATTAGGATAAATTAAATCAATGTTTTATGCCTTCTGATTACCAGAAAAATTAAGAACATTTTATAGGGCCCTATTATTGTTTAAAAAAGGACCATATACAAAAAAGAATAGGTTTAAAATACAGGCCTGTGGCTCTTAATTTCTTTTTATTTATTCACCATTTGTAAACTGATGTTTACTGTTCATTTTTTTAGAAATGCATTTGTATTAAAACTATATTCACTGAATTTAATAAAAAAAAATCGAGAATTGAACCAAGAATCGAATCGAATCGAATCGAGAGCTTGCGAATCGAAATCGAATCAAATCGGGACATCTGAATTGATACCCACCCTAGAAATGATACTTCTTGTGCCTCACGCACTTCCATTGCTATATCTCTCTTATACACATACACTTTCCCACACTCTGTCTGCTGAACCCACTTTATAAAATCTCCCCGTCCTTCTCTAATGCTATTCAAGCCAACAGCAGGCTATCACTTAAGTAGCCTGATAAGCTAAAAACCACCAAACGCGATGAGTTAAACAAGTTTGATTGAGCGTGTAATATACATGAAATGTACATGAATCACATGAAATCTACTTGGAGTCAAACTGTAGGTGACCTGTTTACTGCATGAAACCTGGGTTCTCACTACCTGCTGAGCCAAAGCAGCATGTCAGAGTATTTTTACCCAGCTTCGTCAGAGCTTATCCCCAGTAATTGAGAGGATAAATATCCCTCCTCGTCTTTACAGACTTTTACACACAATTGCAAGTCAAAACTAAAGGTACGACAAACATGAATACAATATATATATATACTGTATTTTAAAGTCTTCATGTATCCTCTTGCATCCTAATGTGCTTTCTTACCAGATACTACTGTTTGAGAAGGAAGGACAAACACTGTACAAGCCATTATAAACCAAGACATGAAGAACTGCATGATGTTCTCAGCAATCTGTTACAGTGTTGTATGAAGTGATATGTCTTCAATTATAACATACTTTGGCCATGAATCATATGAGTCACCACAGTAAAAGATGCTCTTTGTGCCTTACAGATATCATGGAATCCAGTGAAGAACAGTAAGGATGATCAAGTGCCTAGGTCAACAGAGCAGATTTTATACTATCTCACCTGCAACAAAGAGATTTAATGCACCATCTCAAGCCATATCATTAACTGACAAATGCTCTAATTATTCTATGAGGGCAGAGCAATGGAGATTTAGCGGGAGGGTAGGGGGGAGGACTAAGCCGGGCAATTAGGAAAAGCAATCTTTGCTCCCTGAGGTGGATAGAGAGAGAGAGCGGTAAGTATTAACACAGTGCATGTCTCTTTAAATTAAGGGAGAGCAAGGGAGAGAGAGCATGTGAAAGGGGGAGGGGGAGTTGGCTGCGTTGGAACAGTCCGCCTCTAATGAGCAGATTTGAGAGACACCAGTGTAAGAGAGAGAGAGAGACATCCAAACATATGGGGGAATAAGATGACGACGGAGAAAAAGACAATCAGCGTCACACGAAAATCATTCCAACAACATGACTGAGTCAAGGAGGAACAGAAGAAGGTAAATCAAGAACAATGAATCTGGTTTTCCCACCTGCAAGCGAACTGGAGCACAGGATTTTTATACAGATCTGAAAAGAGAGCTGAGAGGAAAGCAGAGACAGCAACAAAACAGTGCCCAGATAAGGAATTAATCACATCAGTTTGTTTGCGATCAAGCTGCACGCTTATCCTGTGCTGGCGAGAGAGTGCGTATATATGCATGTGATCGTGTGTGGATAGAGACTGCATTGCTGCTAGCTGACAGAGACTGAAGCTTGCAGAATCCATCGCTCTTTTTTCTGGTTTCTCTTGCACTCTGTCTCCCTGTGTGGCATCAGTATGTCGGGTGGATTTGGTACAACAGTAGGTGAGCTCCTGGCAGAAAGGATGCGATTGTAAATGCTACCTGCCTGCTTCATCCATCGGCCATCACTCTGAAGACTCACAGGTTTCTAGGTGGAGCCTGGTGGTCTCAGCAACTGGGAGGGGAAGTGAAACAGCTCAAAGCCCCAGAGTGGGTGAGCGGGAGTGAGGGTAGGTGTGTGCTGGCACAGGGGCCCTCTGTGGAGGCAGGAACAAGGAGGGGGCCAGAGCACCAGAACCGAGAGAATTGTTGCTGCATTGGTAATGACAGAACAAGACGCATGGCTGGCGTGGTCCCACTTTCATCACTGATAAGCAACTGCAGGAAAGCAAGCAACTTGTGAATAAAAAGCTCCACTCCTGGAGGAGGATGGTCTGAGAGGGCTCAAGCAGCTCCTGCCTAGTTTGACAAGAGGGGACTACTGCCCGGGAGGGCTCCTCTTTTTTTCTTTTAACTTTTCGCATTGTTTTTTAAGGCAACTAAAGGGAGCATATACGGGTCTTTTCCTTCCCCAGCGTTCCACCAACACCCCAGCCCCATTTCCAAGTCTGATTTTGTTTGGGTCTTACTTCCTTTTCTTTTTCTTTTCTTTTTGAGATTTGGGGTATTTGCCAAAACCTATTTCATGCATGTCCACTGGGGGCAGGTTCAACTTTGATGATGGGGGATCATACTGTGGAGGGTGGGAAGAGGGAAAGGCCCATGGCCATGGCATCTGCACAGGACCCAAGGGCCAAGGCGAGTACGCAGGCTCCTGGAGCCACGGCTTTGAGGTGGTGGGCATCTATACCTGGCCCAGTGGGAACACCTATCAGGGGACATGGGCGCAAGGTAAACGCCATGGAATTGGAGTTGAAAACAAGGGCAAGTGGGTTTATAAAGGTGAGTGGACACATGGATTTAAGGGACGCTATGGTGTGCGGGAAAGCACAGGAACCAGTGGCAAATACGAGGGTACATGGAACAATGGCCTACAAGATGGATATGGAACGGAGACATACTCTGATGGAGGTAAGAGTCTTAAGTTATTTTTGTAAAGCGTTACAGTTTGTAAAAAGACACCACAATTTGCTAACATCTCTGCAATAAGACACTTAAAGAGTTCACTCCAAAATGAAAATTTTGTTATGATTTACTCACTCTCTTGTCGTTACAAACATGTATGACTGTCTTTCTTTTGTGGAACACCCTAACATTGGACCCCAATATTCTTCAAACTATTTACTTGTGTGTTCTACAGAAGAAAAAAAGTCATACAGGTTTGGAATGACATGAAGGTAAGTAAATGTAAAACCTCCCTTTAATGGCAAACACAAACACACTCTTACAGCACAGAGAGATTTCTAGAATGCCTTGTGATTTCCATTTTTGCACCATTCATCACTTTTTGAATTTTTTATTCTTCCTCTACTCCTCATCATTTAGACAAGCTATTTCCTCCGTCCTCCACAAGCTGCTGAGGAGATAAATTTGGAGGCTCAAATTAAGGCCAATTGGACATCTAGAAAGTCAGTGAAAGACAGAGAGAAAGAGAAAGAATGACAGATACCAGTTAACCTACAGGTCTTGCAAAATCCCTCGACAAAATCCTGGAACAGCCTATTTGGGCTGTAACAAAGTTTCCGGTGTACTGTTCTGGAGATAGTACAAACTAAGACTACCAAAACAAAAGTCAAGAACTCTTGGCAGATAACTTGACTCTGGCAAGATGATACAAAGGCCAGATAACTGACAAAGACCAATGGCCATGAAGGTAACATTTAAACAAGAAGCTTACTTGTAACAACTAAAACCACCACAGTAGCATAAGCTGGCATAACACCTGTGCAACTGCCTATCTAACTGGCCTAGAAAAAGGATTTTTCTGTCAGTGAATATTCATTAAAAATCGCAGTCCTGGAACGTAAATGCATACTTGTCCAAAGTCGCCTCAGCTGAACCCTCACCTCTGTACCTTTTTGCAAGTTAAATCTCCCATTTCATCACCCTTACTGGTAAAGGTGCCATATTAATGCATGATAGGAAGGTAACATTGGAACCACAACTATTAAAGGGATAGTTCATCTAAAAACATAAATTTTTATCTTTGTTTATTCACCCTCATTTAATTTGAAACCTGCAGAAGAAAGTCACTGGGGTTCAAAACTATACTGGACCACACTGACATTCATTGTATGGACAAAATACACTGAAAAAATTTTTTCATAACATTCTTTTGTGTAAGTCAACCAGGTTTGAAATGACATAAGAATGAGTAAAAGAAGTATGTTTAGTTTTGGATGAACTGTCCCTTTAATTAAATAGGTAGAGTAGGAGTGTGTATAGGGACTCATGTGGCTATGATATACTCATATATATTTATTTTTTTTGTCCCATAGTTCTAAAGATAGCTGAATGAATAGATGTAAGGAAGCATACCAAAGTATGCATCTTCACACTCCCTGAAGATATTGTTTCAATGAGTGTGAAAAGTTAAATCAGCACCCATTTGACTTTTTTAAGTTGAAGAAAGTGTCAATTCTGGTGAATGAGGCTTGTACTCATCAACGGTGTACCTATTTTTGGAGCAGCATAACCTCTCTCTCTCTCTCTCTTTGTTTCATTCTCTCAATCTCCCTGCATTATGGAAGTGTTGCCTGTGTGTCTTTTACAGCAAGTTGCTGTGGAAACGCACACAGACTCTGGCAGCAGGTCAGCGTGTCACTGGAGACTCAGTGCTCGCCACTCTGATTGGCTGGCTGACTCGCTAATGGTGTTTACTTACTTTGGTACTAATCTGGGACACTTAATCACGACCACAGTAAGCAGTAAGAGAAGACAGAGATTGACAAGAAAATGAGCCAGAGAAAAGAGAGACAATACAGGAGGAGGTTAATAGGGCCACAAAGAGGTTACAGTGGCATTATCAGCTCTCAGTGCTGTCTGAGTACACTACAGCTGCCATACACTAAAGCATCTGTTTACATTATGACCTGAATTCCCCCATCACAAAAGAGGACAGGTCTGAAGAGTGCAAGTTAGTTTCCGCTGGCTTCTACAGGAGAGACTCTCAAAGTATACAATATCATAAACACACCTTTGTTATAAATATAAACTGACATTTCTAGGCTTGCTGCGAATACATCCTTTTATGTGATATTTCAAAACTATTAACGTTACATCACATGCATTAATCTTTGATTCAATAACATGTCTTGTCATGTTTTACCCCTCAGTCAGCACCTTAGGGATTACTTGTCTACAGAGAATGGCATTGTACAGGATATGGCCGATTTTTGCTTTTACAGCTGCTCCGATTTCAGTTTCTGACGTAACCCTAATGATTATTCAGAAGTCAGGGAGTAAAGTACTTGCATACATCAATGTGAAACTCTGCGTTGCTCCAGGCCAACAGTGTCATCATGTCCACTATGTGGCTCATATACAGCAATTCCCAGCACTCTTGCATGACTAAAACTCAAATGCTGATCAATTTGGCTTCCGAAAAGTGGCGTTCTGCCTTGCTCAAAAGCAAATCGAAATACCTTCATCTGGCTTGACAACAAAAAGAAACAAACCATCTCATCAGTTATGTGGTTCAGATACATTCAGGATGATTTTATGTTGTTTACAATTCTAAAATGGGACTATTCCACTTCTCACAGACATCACCTACATAGCATTGAAAAAAAAGTCAAACTGAAATCCCCTTAAACGGATAACGGCCTGCTAGTCTATGTAGGCTTACAGGGAGATTTGGTTTTAAGTGTGGCTTTATTTTGTATTGTGGGGTGTTGTCGCAAATACCATTGCCCCATATACATAACACATCGCCTGAATAAACAACACTTTTATGGCATTGTTTATGTAAGACTGACAATGCAATAAAAGTATGCGGTTTGCATCAGGGAAGAGTTGCCTCTGGCCTGCCACGTGAAGTGCTTGTTATTTCCAAAGTTATGATGAATGCCCAAAGGATGGTTTATCTTACAGTAGGTTACGGATAAGAGATCATCTCTTTAGTCCATCTATGGATACAAACACCTGTTTCATTCTAAGAAGTGCACTGTCCTGGATTTAAGCATGGCCAACAGCTGTGTACTCTGCTAGAGTCTGGCCCGCAATCACACGCACGCAACAATTACTCTGAGGCACAATTGCTGACTTTGTGAAAAAGACAAGAGATTAATAATTCATGGAAGAGCCGATCCAAACAGACTTTATGCCTGCTTTGCGGGAGTCTGCCTTTTCCTGGCATGAATTCTAATTAGCATTGTATGTGAGATATTTAGGCCAAGTGAGCCACAACGCCATCATTTCTTTAGACAGACGCGTCCCTGATCACGACACATGAAAAGGCAAAAACAAGACGTATTCAACCTCGAAACAGAACTGTGTGCATTGTTAAAGAAACGATCATAAATTCAACCCGGGGGAAGGCCCGTGATTAAATCTGTCCTGTGATGTTTCCACTTCTTTGATCTTTCCGCATTAACCGTTTCCGTTCTGTGTGCCCCGTGCCGTTGCACAATACATCTCATAGGCCTCCGGCAGAAACGCAAGCGAATTAGTTTTGACATGTGGGATGCAGGACTCATAGAAAGCCAATACAGGACCACTAATCACATAACCATGTGACCCATGTGAGACATCCCATGCTCATACAAGGCTACTGCTGTCTGCATATACACTTAAGTCAGCAAGGTAATGACAGATCCAAGACAACATTTTTCTTTTTGCTATTGCATTTTCACTTCTATTGCTGTTTTCACAGCTGTGCAGTGATTCAATTAGATGTTCCTCTGATTAATACTAACGTCTGTGTCCTCAGAGAGAGGCTGTTCTCTATATTACATATTCACACTTGGTTTGTTCAAAGAGTTGTTAGATTCACAAAGCAATTGATCTGGCATCTACTTTATGGAAAGAATACACGTTATATTGGCTATTTGAACATCTTAACCTCCTGAGACCCAGCAAACATACAAAAACAAGGTTTGCCATATGTGCAAAAATACCAGATGTACGGATGAAATACCAAACAGTTGCATGTTGCCTTTAACATCAACAATAAATGATATGGGAGTAATTTTCACCTCTCTTTTAACATTTGATAACCCAATTTATTTTCTTGTTAGTTGCACTTTATTAATTGCATTGAAGATTGTATTTTCCCTGCTGTTTGCTATATCATATCATTATAATATTAAATTTGAAAGAAAAAACCAAGATGACATATGAAACACTTCAAACTGTAATATATACGGTCTTAGCAATATTAACAAACAACTTATGTCCACTACAGTGAACAAAAACGAATTGCTGAGTCTCAGGAGGATATAAAACCCAACTGAAACAGGCAGGCTATATATGGGCTTACATTTCTGCCACAATTCTGTGCGCGAAAGATCATATTTTGAGCGCACAAAAGTGCATTTTGCACACGCGCGATCTGAGTTTGTGGAGAAAATGTTCGTTTCACAAAGAAAAAAGTCACCCACTCTTATCTTCAGAACCACGGAGAGCACCAGCAGCGCGCTGGTGTCGTGACTGTTCTCCCTCTATCTCTTTCTCCCTGAGTGGAGCTTTCCCACGATATCATAGTAATACAAGAGAAGAGTTTCCAACGATTATCTAACAAATTTTCTTCATTAGGCCTGCCTGTCATGCTGTTTACTTATAGCACCTCTTTAACTGCCTCTTTTAATGAGAAGTTCCTATGGCTACCTGCAGAATTATCAAAGGACTTGAGGATTGCGTGTTTTTACCACAAGAGATCTCACTTTTGTTCCCCTGCCTGAGCTCACTGGGAAATCATACATGGGGGACATTTTAGCAATTCGTTTTGACCGATAATAACCTATTTTCTTAATGTCAAAGGTGGCTGTTTGTTTAGTCTGAAATTAACAAATGTCCAAATGTTGATGAATCAGGAATTAACACATGATATTAAAAAACAATTATATGTAAATTCTTTAGCATGACAATTACAATAAATTTGTAAATTTTTATTATGTCTATATAAATATCTGTAATGCAGCTACTTCAGGGTCATACTAAATTTAAAAAAATGATATCTGAAATGCTAACATCTTTTAATATAAACAAATAAAGAAGAATGTGTAAATTATGATCTTAAATGTAAGAACTGAATACTAACAAACAAGCCTAATTAATGTTTCATTTGTAAACACAATGAAATATAATTTTGTAATTAATTAAATGTGCATTACAGTATCCATAAATATAATCTAATGTAAAGTGTCACCAATACTGTGCTCTTCTTGCACATCTTGTTACAAAACAGTGAAGATTGCATCTTAATTTCAGTCGCTGTGACTTCGTGATACGTATCGTATCGTGACTTTGCTGGTGATACACAGCCCTAGTGACTTGGAACTCTGCCTGAGGCCTTCAGGGAACACAGAATAGTTCAAAGGCTAATCAAGGACAAGTTCCCCCACCACATACCTCAATTGGGAAGACGTAATGTACAAAACCATTTTAGCCGGTGGGCGGATCTTGTCCTCAGACCGCCAGACTCCGAGTCGGATGCTTAGTTTTGTGTCTGTGCTAACGCTGTGCCCATCAATCAGGGCACTACAGACGTCAGCAGTTTTACATCACTGTCAGACAGTCTTTATTCTGGAAGGCCTGCCAATACATCATAATCAAAAATTCTCTCTCGTCTATAATCCATTGAACTATCTATTAGATTTGCTTTTGTTTTAAGGACATTAATGTTACTGATTATCCACAAAAATTGCTTGCTATACAGTAAGTCTGTAGAGATTTATAATTGTGAAAAATGAGAACAGGAAATAGATTCTTTCATTTGTGGCCTGTAGAAATTACAATAACGTTGTTATGATGAAGATATTTAGCTACTGTTATCTCAAAATCTTGAGTTATTTTAGTCTTCTGGAATGTTACAGTTAAATCTGAAGTGAGCAAAAGTATGCAGTAGATAATGAATGGAAGATAGTGTGTGCGTTTGTGCGAAAGAACTACACTGTGAATGTTTAGGAGGTGTGAACTGATGCCTCCTCTCTTTCTATGTGTCACTGTGTGTGGGAATTTTCCAAGCTAATCCCATCAGTTTAGGCCTGCGTTTGATCTACATATCACACAGCACGCAGCGGCTGCCCGACAATATGAAGCAAGCATCAGCCAGATGTTGGCCAACTGTCGGCCACTCCGCCGGAACGCGGCATCAGAATCACAACAGTACAGGCCTGTGACAGTGTGTCAGTTTCCTGTTCTCACTTCAAGTGCAGTACTTGCTTTCTCTCTTTCATACACACACTCAGCCTGCAAGTATTCTCCTTCTGATAAAATGATTAAATCCTTGAAGGGTAGAAAGAAAGAAACAGACAGACAAACAGAAATATATAGAACAATCGACAGATGGAATGAAAGAGAAACGATAAATAGAAAGAAAGATATATATGGAAAGATAGATAGATGGAATGAAAGATGATAAATAGAAGGATAGATAGATAGAATGAAAGATGATAAATAGAAAGAAGGATAGTTATATATAATGATAGATAGATAGATCGATCAACATATGGAATGAAAGAGATGATAAATAGAAAGTGATACATTTATAGAACGATACGATAGATAGATAGAATGAAAGATGATAAATAGAAGGTTAGTTATATATAATGATAGATAGATAGATGATAGATCAACATATGGAATGAAAGATGATAAATAGAATGATAAATTTATAGAACAATAGATAGACAGATGGAATGAAAGATAATAAATAGAAAGAAGGATAAATATATAGAACGATAGATAGATAGTTAGAACGATAGTTAGATAGATAGATAGATAGATAGAGGATGCTGTTAAAGAGGAAGCTCTGTGGCAGGGCTGTTTGTGAGCCAGGAAAGTACATATATTGAAGTGGGGGCTGGGAAAATCCACCAAGCACAGCTCCAGCCCCATCGAGCCATCCAGCAGCCCTCGCTGACCTGCCAACCCACAGAGATCAATACAGGCAGAGGGAATGGGGGCGTTCATATGGCTGGATGTGTATGCATGTAGCTAACAGGATGAGAAAGCTGATAATGTATAGACAAAAGGGATGGGAGAAAAGAAAAGAGGGTTAGAACGAATAAGAGATGGTGAGATAACGGAAGTAGCACAGTGAGCTGTGTGTGTGGCTGCCACAGTAATAGTGCCAGCATGTTCTAGAATGTTGGCCAGGATGAATCATCAGCATGTAAGGATAGTGGTTACATCAGAGGTGATCTCATAGAGCGCCAAAAAGTACAGGACAGATCAGGTGGATGGTGAATATACACCTTCCGGTATAAAAGATCCATGCTAGGTGAGCACAAACTCTTAAAGGGACAGTTCACTCAGTTTACTCACACCTCACGTTGTTCTAAATTTGTTGAGTCTGTGGAACACAAAAAGAACATTTTCCTGAACACTCCAGTTAAATTTTCTTACATTACATGGCCATGATATCATCAAAAAATCTTTTGTGTTTATTGAAGAAACAATATCATACAGGTTTTAAGAGTGAGTAAATTATTTTTGGGTGAATTATTCTTTTAAACATGTCTGTATGAGAGAGCATTATCCCAGATTTCAGCACCATGGAGAGAGACATTCTGTAATTAGGTTGTAAGTGCTTTAACCACTTATAAGTTGACATGGCATCTTAAAGACAAAGTGTTTAACTGATATGAAATAAAAACAAAAAATACACTGACAGCTAACACAATTTTTGTCTTCAATGATAATGTCTTAAATTATCTTCGTTTGAGGGCCTTTCTTAGCAGATATTGATATATGCCATTAGTTGCGATTCATTAAGCACCAGTCCTATAATGAAACAACAACTGTAAGGTTTAAAATGCTCTTTTTCTTCTTCAGTGACAACATTTTCGGATTAAGGCCCATCAGTGCTGTTTTTATCACCTGCGAGAACCTTAGTGTTATTGGTTACCCATGTCACTTAATGAAAGTTGGTGATTCATCAAGACTCCCGACAGAAAGATCAGGCTGCCAGCGCCATAAAGAAAATTTTACAGGACGCAACAGTCCATTATTTTGTTTGCACACTCACCAAAAATAACACTGCTGGCGGCTAAATTGATGGGCATTGTGATACCTCATGGACATTAAGATCGATAAGATGAAAACTTGGTCCCTTGAGGCTCCATCACAATAAGCAAAGTAATGGAGCCAGGTCTGGAGATCATGGCTGCCAAAAACACTCTTCTACTGTTGCCATTATGGCACTTCCTGTGCTTGCCATTGATGAGGTTAGTCATGCTGATGACGCTATTAGTGATCACAGCTGTAACAATGGTGCGTCTCAGGGGCATCATGCACCGAGTTTGATAGTTTGACAAAATGAGACAAAACATTTTTTTTATTATTAATTAAGTATTTAACGATTATTTTTAGGTGATATACAACATTTGCGCTGTAGATTTCAACGTAGTTTGCTATAGCGAAATACTAGGCACCTTTTCCACATTATTTTTATGCACTGCCCCACAACATTTCATTCTTTTTTTTTCATTAAGTTGTTACTCGCTCTCATTGCGTGGCACAAAAGCAACGAGAGAAGCATTTTATTGAGCTCACGAGGATTATTACTGTTTGTGCCTGGAGTAACACACTACCACACACTACAAACCTCTCCCAACTGTATTGAGTTACTCAAAAGGAACAAACATATTACAGAGCTGTGAATTGCAGTATGATCTCCCTGGTGGTTAAGTTTATAGTATCAAGGCAGGTAAAAGGGCAATTAACCTTTTCAAAATACTAAGTGCCTGCAGCTAAATTGTTGTTTTGACTGTCCTTTGGTTTTCAATCATAATCACAAGGAAAAATGACCAAAACTCAAAGCACCTGTTTGTTAGCACACATAAGTTCACCGAAAGGTTTCACAGATATTTTCTGTCTAACTTTGCTGCAAATGGACTCGGGTCCACAAAATCTTCCATTGCCATCAGCTATTTAAGTTACAATTTAACTTTCCATGAATAAGATGAAATAACTTGGGACTTGTCAGCAGATGTGAAACCCAGGGTTCAACAGGGTTGACACTATTGTTGCAACTGGCTGTTTTTCTAGTCCCCGAAACCATTAGAAAAGACTTATTTCTTTGACCATTCTTCTTACCACTGCAGCTAAAAGGCAGCCTTTTCAGACAGTTTGCTTTATATAATGCTTTTTCCAGCATAGTCACAGGCTGAAATCAGAGCTGAAAACATTAGGCAACTCTCCAAACTGGAGAAACCTGAGGGCAGCAGACTCAGCAGGGGAACCCTGGGTTTCACATCTGCTGCAGTTCCGCAAAATCCTGCAACAGACAGCTTGATTGCTGATTCGTAGTGTACATGCCTAAAGTTGTCTCTTATCTCCTGTCTTTTCACTCAGGTACATACCAGGGCCAATGGGTGGGCGGCATGCGGCATGGATACGGCGTACGGCAAAGCGTTCCATACGGCATGGCGGCCGTCATCCGTTCACCTCTGCGTACCTCCATAAACTCTCTGCGCTCCGAGCACAGCAATGGCACAGCTCTGCTGACTGGCGATCGGGCGCCTGTGGCTGGCGTGGGGGGCGGCGGTGTCCTAGCAGCGGGCAGCCCGGCCGTATCCCGTGGAGGCTTCGTTCTGACGGCTCACAGTGAGGCAGAGCTATTGAAGAACAAAAAGAAGGGCCTGTTCCGCCGCTCACTCCTGAGTGGTCTCAAGCTGCGAAAATCTGAGTCCAAGAGCTCATTAGCCAGCCAGCGAAGCAAGCAGAGTTCCTTCCGCAGCGAGGCCGGAATGAGTACGGTGAGCTCCGCCGCATCCGACATCAACTCAACCATCAGCCTAGGCGAAGGGGAAGGTGAGCTGCCAGTGGGCGAGGACGATGTAGACGCCACTACCACCGAGAGTTATGCCGGCGAATGGAAGAACGACAAGAGGACAGGATGCGGGGTGAGCCGGCGTTCGGACGGACTGCACTACCAGGGTGAGTGGTTGGGCAACAAGAGGCATGGCTACGGATGCACCACCTTTCATGATGGCACCAAAGAGGAGGGCAAATACAAACAGAACGTGCTTGTCAGCGGCAAACGCAAGAACCTCATCCCACTACGTGCCAGCAAGATCCGCGAGAAAGTGGACAGGGCGGTCGAAGCGGCGGACAAGGCCGCCGACATTGCAAAGCAGAAGTCAGAGATCGCGCTCTCAAGGTAAGACACGGGGTCTTAATTCGAAAACATATCTTTGCTAGCTGCTTGTTGACCTCAAAAAGCACTCGACCCCAATGCTAACATACTTTCTCAAAGCAAACCAAGGCGGTTACCTAATTTTAGGGTGAAAATAATGCTTTAAACGATTTTACTAGAGTAGCTCCTGATTTTTAAATGGTTCAAAGACCAACTTGACAAGCTCAATGTTTGTGCAAACAAATGCTAATGTACTCTTAAGAGTTGACAAAATTAGCTTTAAGTACACATGCATGTTTCAAATGGACCAAAAATGTTGATGACTCACTAGACATAATTTTGTCCAATTAGATCCTCTAGAATAAGCACAGTATGTCTCTCCCATCTGCAACAGACTACCAAGTACTTGGGCTCATGGCCATGATGTAACTAAATCATATGCACTGACATATTTCTTTTTGAAACAAAGTTTGGGCGCTTTCCCTAATGAGCTTTAGTTACACGAACCTATGTACCTGCTAGTTGGTTGCAGGTGGTATAAAGCCCAAGTATACTTCAGTTTTGACGTGAACACTTAGTGTATGCATACAGCGGCAGCCGAACACATTGTTTTTCAAAATATACTCCATTTGATACTGTGCGTGAACACAGGCACTCAACAAATGTGCACTAGAAAGATTCATCCTTTTCCAGTGTATGTGCTATTTCTCTCCACGAGTTATGACTGATAAAAATATTCTACAAAGCATTTGATTGGACAACATCTGTGTAGTGCAGGATGTCATCATCAATATTTTCGGCCCATTTTCCTGGTAGAGCAACATTATAAATTTGCATTGTAAAAATGCATATATGTGCTAAAAGCTAATTTTATTAACTCTTAGGAGTATGCAAGCATATAGATGGCTTCAAAGCTAACAAACATGGACTTTAACTGAAACTATTCTTAAATTAATGGAGTCTTAAAATGCACGCCGTGTTCCTTAGCATTAGTATGCACACTCAAACATCTGCTTGGACTACACAAGTGCTCATTGACATTACTGTATCGTTCTACAACATTCATCCTCTCAATTCTTTACACTGCAACCAAACACAGGGCCATATTTCTAGCGGTTACTTGGGACCTGTTAAATAGGCCTTGCTGGTGCCATTCTGTGGTGTGGTTGCTAAGGAAACGTGAATGATTTGTGTCGGTGTCAGCGTGGAGAGAGAATACATAAGTCGGGATTCACTTAATGAGAGTCATGTAGATTCTGGGTGTATCAGCAAGCTGACTGATGTCTGTATTGATGCAGAGCAACAGTGGTAATCAATAACATAGACATGTGGAATGCCATAGTCATAAATTGCCTGACGCTGTTAGTGTGTGTCCGTGTATGTGTGTGTGTGTTTATTAACCGAATACAGTTTGGTTGAATATTGAATGCTAATTGAAAAATGGAAGCATTTTTCACCATGTTGTCTGCATGTCTGCTTTTGTTGATGTTGTCTAGACTAGAGCAGTGTTGCAACCTTTGTGGTCTTAGGTAGCAATACAGCGGCATAAATAAGGTTCAAATGCTCCTTCATTGACACCAAAACGGAAATGTGTTCTATGACCTGACATTACACTGTAAAAGGGGAGAAAAATAAAAAAATTAATTGCAATTAAATTACAATTATTTTAACCTTTTGGTAGCCTTAATATTAGAAAAATGGTCCATCCAAAACAGTTTTGTTATTGTTAACTAAAACTAAAATTAATGAAAATAATTTATGTTAATTCAAATAAAGTTGAAATAAATTTGTAATAAAATATGTAATAAAACGTAAATGTTAAAAACGTGTTTCTTATTGAAGCTGAAGTACTAGAATTACTAAAAGTAAAAATGTAACAACATAAATTAAATCTACAAATAAAACTAATAAAATGACAAAATTGTAAACTAAAATTTAAATATATAAAATACCGTTTATAAATATATAAAATATATAAAAACCTGAAAATATAAAATAGAAGCCAATTCAAAATATTAAAAAAATACTATATGAATAATACTAAAATAATACTGTTAAAAAAATTAAAATGTACTCATCATTTACTCAACCTTATTTTGTTCCAAACCTTTATAACCCTTTAAAAAAAAAAAAAAAAACGATTCTGGTTAGTGAAAGAAATATTTTTTGAGTCAGATCTCTTAAATTAATCAGTTGATCTGTTCACAAATCAGACTAATTCAACTCACTGAATAGAAGCCAATTCAACAACAGTTTGCAGAAGATTTTTTATTGAATAAGAAATTCAATTTCTGTCTGTTTCTCATATAAAGCTATAGAATGACTTCAGGAGAGTTGAAATATAGCACACAGGTCATATGAACCACATTTCTAATATGTTTATGGTGCTTTTGTGTTTCCCCCATTCATTGTAATTGCATGGAAAACAGCAACTAGCACACTCTTCAAAATATCTCCTTTTTGTGTTCCACAGAAGAAACATACAGGTTTAAAACAACATGAAAATGAGTCAATAATGACAGAATTGTTCGTTTTTAGGTAAACTATCCCTTTAAGACTCAGTTTTATATATATAAAAAGAACTTAAGCTAAATCAAAGTCTTTCCAAGAACCCCATGGAGTTTGGTACATTCTCCAGACTGGGAATCACGGGTCTAGTTCGGGTTGTTTGGGTGACTCATAGGTCAGCAGAAGAAAAAGGAGATCGAGATAGGGTTCAGGAAGAGAAATCAGAAGCGAGAGAAACACAGAGAATCAGAGACTTCCGCATTATGCCAAGAGTGCTGGAGACCTGCTGGAGATAGACCAGGCAGGCTGAATTGGATCTAAGCCAGTTCGCCTATTTTTTTCACTCTCTCCATTTCAAACACAATCCCAACTGCTCACAAACTCACAGTAGCTTATAGCCTCACACATGTTGCGGACACGTGCTGTGTGCATCCATGTGATCTGTACATACATGTTAGGGAAATGTGTGTGTAAGTACATATGTTGAGTTTATGTGCTCGTGCCTGCCCATTGATGGCGGCTGCATATGTTTGCGTACGTGTGCGCTCATTCAAACGTGCATAGGTATGCATGTGCTATATTAAGAGCGTCACTCACCCCACAAATCCCACTGACCTCATTATATTCTCAGCAATGCTATCACTACAGCTTAGCACTGGCCCTGCCAACACACGGAGCAGACACATACACACAGTGCTTGAGAGCAACCAATGAGATAAAGCTGAAACAGAAATGTAAAATAAAGCATTACACTGTGGTTTTATGCATTTTTCAGGTTCTAAGTGTATGTATTATCAAAGACTATAGAAGGGACTTTGGTATTATTACCTCATTTGCAAACTCTTAAGGAAAAAAACAAATTTAATGTTAAAATCAAAATGGGCATGTTTTTAGTATTATTTATACACTATTGTAGTATTTATTCATATTTTGAATTAGATTTAATTTTTATAATTTCAGTTTTCATTTTGAGTATTAGTAATTTTGTTATGTGTTCTTTTTTAATATTTATATTTAGCTTATTTTTATATTTTATATTGGTGTTAGTCTTAGTAAGTTACTTTAAATTACACTTATTTTATTTAAGTTAAGGGTCCTATTATGCTTTTTCACTTTTTCAACTTTAGTTAGTCTGTAATGTTGCTGTTTGAGCATAAAAAAGATCTGCAAAGTTACAAAGCTCGAAGTCCACTTCAAAAGGAGATATTTTATTTAACAGAAAAAACGTTTCAAAAACTACAACGAACGACTCGTTTGGACTACAACGCACATTTTCCGGGATTTGTGATATCACAAAGATCGACGAATGGGACGAGACCTGGTAATGAGTGTTATCACTATGTCAGAGACACGCTAGCTTTCCCAAGGCAGAC